TATATATATATAGGGTCTCAATTTCCTTCTCTCCAATGCAGGGCTAATGGCACTTCGCCTACCAATTTCTCAGGGCCATTGCTGGAAAGAAATAAAATGAAAGATATAAAAACTATCAAGGCAAAGGCTAATGTAAGAGATTCTTCTGATTCCTATTCAAAGGGAGGAGGAGGTTGAGGGAGGAGGAGGTTGAGGTCCAACCAGAAGCTGGCGGCCTCCTGAAGCTTCGACAGCACGCTTCTCTAAAAGTAAGCTTAGGAAGATCAAGGCACCCACAGGGCTTTGAATCTCACTAACAACCTCTGGAAGCTCTTCCATTCTGCTCAGATTGACATTGTACTAAAGAGCCTGCCTTTGGCCCCTCTGAGGGCTTCTTGGATTTGCAGGGAAAGTTAGAGACTGCTTCTGTGACCAAAATCAGAAGCCATTTCTATAGCACCTGCTAGAGGAGCTGGCTTCCCTCTCTGTCTATCGTAATCCCATTTTCTGCCTCCAATATCTGTGGCTTGAAATCAGTGCTGCCTTCTGGCATGGAGGAGAGAGCACCAGAAAACGAGCCTAAAACGTCAGAAGTTCAAAAAAGAGAAACAAAAACATTAGTACCTTTATCCTACGGACCTGCAGGCAGCATCCTGCACCAGGACTGTGAGGAAGCCAAGAGCAGGCATAAGATGCAAAACAGAGTAAAATAAATAAAACTCATGCATCACGCTAGGGAGAGGGTCCACGTGGCCGACCAATGACAGCAGAGCAGCCCCTCCTGACAGCTGCAGCTTTAGGGGGCCTTCAGAGTGGTTTCCATGGCACCCGTGCCTTCATAATCCTCACCCAAGCAGCTCTCCTTCAGCTCACCTTGTGTCACCAAACGGGAGGAGAAATGAAGTAAGTGTGACAAATATGCTGATATCCAGAGAGAAAGAGAAGGCGGGGGAAGGAGGCAGGCAAGCCCAGGGGCTTCCTCCAGGGCAAGTGGCTGGGGTCCCTGCCTGGGATTCTGAGGGCATTTCTGGGGGACCAGGTCTAACCAAAACTCTGATTTAGAAAAATCCAGGGACTCAAATACCCAAAGGGTCTGGAGAGAAAGGTGATCTGAGCTCCTGTGTGCAGATGGTCGGGTCTTACACAGCAGTTCCCTGGGAACACAGAACCCTGAGGGACCAGGCTCCATGGCCACCATGGTCAGGTCTTATTGTGCTCACTGCCCCCCAGGCCCCCGGCAGAAAGTTCAGCCTTTATCTCCATGCTGGCATATGAGCTGTGTGGCCTGTATTAGCTGTGTGACCTCGCAAAGCCTGTGCCCATCTCTCTGAAAAGATACTGGGTTGTTCTGAGTATTGAAAATCCTATATTTAGATGTTCCCAGCTCATGCCTAGGACATAGAAGGATTGCAGAAAGCTGTAGCTTTTTAAAATACCCATTTCATTGAAGTACAATTTACATGCAATGAAACCCACTAATTTTAAGTGTACCATTTGATGGATTTTAACATGTATATATAGTCATGGAACCACCACCCAATCAAGATAGAGAATGTTTCTATGATGCAAAAAAGTCCTTGTATTTTATTTCCTGGTTTCATTTTTTTTTTTAGAGATGGGGTCTCACTATGTTGCCCATGCTGGTCTCAAACTCCTAGGCTAAAGTGATCTTCCTACCTTGGCCTCTCTAAGTGCTGGGATTAAATGTGTGAGCCACTGCACCCAGCTAATAATAACTTTTAAAATATTTGATTATGTTTAATGATACTTGAAGCCCACCCTGAGTCCTGTTCCCCTGTATAATACTCTGCTGTTTCTTCTTGGGTTCTTCCCAGAGGTATCATCATGGTCACACTTTCCTGGCATGTTCCTGAGCTTTTTTCTTCACTCAGACCCAATAGTACCTGCTGGTGGGGAGAGGGGTAGGGAAGGGGAAGGGGTCACCCACCCAACCCAGGCTCAGCCCCCATCCCATGTGAAACTGTGCCCACCCGCCGTGGCTGCACCCATGGACGTCACCAGTACGATAGCAGTGCAGGCGTGGCCTTGCTGTAGCAGGCCTGGTCCACCTAATGCTTTTCCAGCTCCTGCCTGACCTTTGCCAAATCTGTCCTTTCTTTCTCAGCCGGCCCTAGAGCCCCACAGAAAAGGTGGCGTGGAAGGTCCCCACAAAAGAATCCAGCCCTTCTCCATCCACTGATTTCTTTTCTTTCATTCATTCCACAAGAAATTTTTGGGGGGCTTCCTGTGCCAGGCACAGGCCAGGGGCTGGGTGGCAGGCTCCAGGGCCACAGGGCCCAGCCAGGCCCACCTCCATCACCTCTCCTTCCCCGCCCCGGACACGGCCCAACAGGCAGGACTGAAATGAAACCTCGCCCCTCCAGCATCCTCCAATTTCTTGCTCTTAGATCAGACCCTACACAGCAGCAGGCAATTGAAAAGGACTTCCGGGTGCCCGCTCACACTTTCATCCTTCTTTTCTCTCTCCCTTTTTTCATCTTCTTTTTAAAAATGCTCTTTAATAGTGGGAAAGTTAGCATGAAAAGGAGAGAAAATGAGGCTTGAAAAGAATGTGTCTGATGTGCAGCAATTTGTTCACCTGCGAGAGGTTCTTCCCCTCCTGAACCTTGCTGCTGGGGGGCCCAGCGCTGCCAGGCGGCAGGAGGTGGGAGGCGGCTGGGAAGCTGGAGGAGGCCCTCCCTTCTGCCCTTCTGAAAGCAGAGGCAGGAGGTGGGTCAAGGTAGGAGATTGACCTCATGACAGCAAGTAAAGTCAGGGTCATAGGGGACCAGGGTCACCTGCCATGTCCCTCTGGCACCTGTTGGAGCTACACTAGAGACCTGGAGAATTGTTCACCATAAGGCATTTCCTTTCCTATCTTAAGGCAAGAGCCTGGTGTCCTGCGTGGTGGGGAAAGGGGGCCTAGAGTCAGGGAATGGGGTCCCAGCAGGGCAGGTTCAGGGCCTGGTCACCCCAGGACTCGGGCCACCATTGCTCCCTCCCTCCTGCTTGGGCTCCAGCCACGTGCCCCACTGACTTTTGGAAGAGCCAGTCAGGACAGCTAAAGATCCTTCCCCGAGGATCCCAACTGGGTTTAGGGTTTCAAGACAGCCTCAACCAGCCTCCATCCACTCTGCACTGGACTGGCCCTGCTGCCCCCTCCCCTTACTCAATGAGAAAGCTCAGGACCCACACGCAAGACAGAGCCTGCAAGAGAAGACCCCCAATGGGCTCCTTTCCTGCAAAGGAGACTGTTCTTTGGCTCCTGTCATGAAAGGCAGGGAGGCAGGGAGTCTGGGCCAAAGTGCCCACAGGGTAGGGGCTGCTAGAGCTTGTTTCCCTGGGAAATGACAGAGAGGTGCGACGCCAGTGAGCCTGGAGTCTTGACAGGCTGGACGGCTCAATGGTTAGACGGTGGGCTCTGGGCCAGCCTGCCCGGGTTCAGATAAAATCACATCAAATCCATTTGCTGCTTATTAGTTGTGTGGCCAGGACTGGAACCAGACAGAAACTGGGGGTGATTGTAGTGGTGCCTTCCGAGCCACTGTACAAGTTACCATCCATAATGCACTTGGGATGGTACTTGGCACACAGTAGGTGCACGGAGAAGGCTTGTGTCCGAAGCTCAGCGTCATTATTTAGCCAGACCTTCCCCTGCATAGTAGCGCCCACCCCGCTGGCAGGATAGCAGTATGGAGGATGGGCACTTCCTCCCTCCCCTTCCACCTGGGGTGGGGACAATCTGCCAGGAGTGCCCCTGTCCCTGAGCTCCAGCCTCCCCCACCACCCCCAGTGACAGAGACAGAGCTGGAGCTGGGCTGGGTAGCAAAAGCTACAGACAGGGGGCTGGGCTGCCACCTCAGGGTTGCCCCCACACTGCACAACTCTAGGGGATGCCATTTACGTTAACAGCCCATGGTGGCCCCTGCCCAGGGCCAAGGCACAACTCTGGAGGAGACGGGCCAGGGCTCCCTGAGATCCTGTTTGCCCACCAAAGGCTGCTTCAAAGGCCCGAAGAATAAGCCTGACAAGGCAGAGACAGAGGCATGGGCTGAGAAGGGCCTGGGAGCCCAGTTTGCCAGTGGGGGCCCAGCCTGGGGGGGCCACGGGTTTTCCCTTCTCCTGGAGCACAGTGGCCTAGTTTTCTCCCGGAGACGGAAGAGACCCAGAGAAAAGCTTCACGCTGTCCCTCCTTCAAAGCCATCTCACACCCACACAACTCCGCACCCCTCCCCAGAGGCCAGAGCTGCAGGAACCCGAGCGAGAGTGTGGTTTCCTCTCAGCCTCGCCCCTCAGAGACTTCCGCTCAGCAGCAGCTGCGGCCAGGCCAGCTCAAGGCGAGATATCAGCCAGTCCTTGTGAAACCTCCCTGCATGGTGGAGACAGACAGAGACAGGGCACCAGGCCAGGTCCCTTCCAGTGGAGGGGGCAGCAAGTGAGCAGAGGCGATCAGAGGGGTGGGAATCACAGGGGAGAACAGTGACTAGGGAGAGTGATAGAGAAGTGTGTGCCCCTGCTGTGTGCATGTGCAAATGTGCCTGTGTGCACATGCGTATGTGTGCTGCACGCTCAAGTGTGTAGCATGTGTGCAAGTGTGTAGGTGGGTGTGTGCAAATGTGTGAGCAGGCGTAGCTGTGTGCAAATGTGTAAGTGTGCACTGCATAGGCACAAAGGATGTGTGTCAGTGTACAAGTGCTGCATATGCAAGTTTGTGGCTGTGTGTGCAAATGCATGCTGGTGTGTCTGTGCCTGTGTGCAAATGGGTGTGTGCAAGTGTGCAGGTGTGTCACACAAGTGCAAGGGTGTATTTCTGCAAATGCACATGTGTGCAAGTGTGTGGGTATGCATGCAAATGGGTGCTAGTGCACAGGTGTGTGGGTGTGCAAGTGTATGCAAACACATATATGTGCACACGTGTTCAATGTGTGTGTGTGCAACTGTGCACATATGTGCAAGTGCGTGTGTGAGTGCCCTGGAAAAGAGAGAGGGAGAGGAAGAGAGAAGGAAGAGCAGAAACATACCTATGGTAAAAGCCAGTACTGCCCAGCAGATGTGTCCAACGGAGAGCACCGAGAGGCAGGACCAGCCTCTCTTTGTTCCTATCTCAGTAGCAGGCATGTAGCAGCACAATGACTTGTGTTGCTTGCCTGGCAGATCACACAGGTCACAGATGCCTCCTCATCACAGGATGTGGTCGCTGCACCCTGTCCTAACTCCAGTCCTCTCCCTCACCTTCCCCAGCTAACCCCTTCCCTCCAAGCCCCCTGCCCTGATCGCTGTCAAGGTCAGCAGACCACGCCCCATCCATGAGGGAGCCAAGGGCAGTATCTGCTCAATGCCGTCACTCCCTGTGGGCCAGCTTCTCCTCGCCCAGGAACAAGGGGATTTCCTGACTGTCTCTTTAGGCAGGGTGACGTAAGCTGTTTTGCTAGAGTGCAGCCAAAGAGCCTTCCAGGTCTTCATTTATCTAGATGTGGAGTCCTTTGGGAATGAGCATGGCAGGCTTGCTCCTGCCCAGCATCTTGGAAGATCTCAGACCAGTGCTCCCTGTAGACGATTGGGACCTAAGAAACAGAGCCCTGCAGAAGGCCTGGCAAGACCACATGTCCCAGGGTGGCCGGTGTTTCCAGCGGTGACACTTGGAATTGAAACCAACCTTTGGAGGGCAAGAGACCCCACAGCAGCAGCTGTGCCACTGACTGGGGAGTGCCCAGCCTTGGCGCTGGAGTGGGGAAATGGCCTGGACATGAAATGTGTGGAGACCTGACCCCTGCGCTGGCCCCTGCAGCAGAGGCAGGCCCCAGCAGGCAGGGACCTGCTTTTCCCAGGGCTCTCCAGGGAGTCCCTGCACAGCCCTCAAGAGCCTACCCTGCATTATCATCCTCAAGGTCAAGAAACTCTCCTTGGGGGAGTCTCCAGAGACAGACAGCCTGGCCATGCCCTGGCAGACCCACCCACTCTACTCCAGGACTTCCGGATCTGGTCTGCAAGTCACGGCACGGGGGAGTCTGCCATCGAACCAGCCAACTGCATCAGAGCCGGGGCCACCTCCTCCTCCGTCTCGCTGTAGCTCTTTGAGCCTCAGTTTCCTCATCTGTAAGGTGGGAGGTGAGGATGGCCAATTCAGTGTCTGATGAAGACAAAATTTATCCCCTCATCCAGGGCTGGTCTGGAGCAGACCCTCCCCCTTCCTCCTCATCTCGGCCCCAGGACAAGCATGGCTTCCCTCCCTAGCCTTCCTCCCTTGGAGCTCCAGGCACTGAGGACTCTTGGCAGATCTCATTCATGTCATTCTCTCTCTCCCTCTCTTTCTCTCCCTCTTTCTCTCTTGGAGACAGGGTCTCACTTTTGTCGCCCAGGTTGGAGTGGCCTCAGTCTCCCAAGTAGCTGGGATCACAGGTATGCACCACCATGCCTGGCTGCTTTTTGTATTTTTAGTGGAGACAGGGTTTCACCATGTTGGTCAGGCTGGTCTGGAACTCCTGACCTCAAGGGATCTGCCCACCTCAGCCTCCCAAAGTGCTGGGATTCTCTCTCTATCTATCTCTTTCTCCTCTCTCTCTACCCCGTCTCTTTCCCACTGTCTGTCTCTAATCTCTGCGTCTATGTCTCCGTCTCTCCCTACACCTCCACCTGGATCTCCACCCCCATTCTTCACCAGCTGACTCCTTCATTCATCAGAATGCCTCCCTCCTGGAAAACTTTCCTGCCTCCAAGCCCCGATGGGGTTGGAGCTTGTATGTGTCCTAGGGGCTTGTGTCCCAAACTTTCCCTATCTTCCCATCAATCGTGGTGAGCTAGAATTACCTGATAATCTGTCTGCCTTTTTCTTGGGCTACAGTCCCCTTGAGAGCAAGACTGGGTCCAGTAAACTGTTGTATGCCCAGTGCCCAGCACAGGGTAGATGTCCATTAAATATACATGAACCAGTGACCGATTGAGATTGAGACCTGACTGGAAGCATCTTCCAAACGGCTGCTCAGAGAGCAGCCCATCCTGCACCCCAACTCATGCCCCATCCCCCACTCCTCCAGCTCCTCTCCTCCCAAATCCCTGCCATCACAGCCAAGCTCGAGCTCCACGGCAGCTCTGCCATCATCGGATGCAGACTCATCCGCTGTTGCCATGGAGACCAGCCAGCAGTGAGCTCTGCGCCCTCCTGCTGCAGGGGCTGAGCAGAGCATGGGGACAGCCTGAAGCAGGCAGAGAGAACCCATCAAGGAGGAGGCAGGGGCACGCATGGCTCTGCACCCAGGCAAACCTGGAGTTGGGCCCCATCTGCCCCTACTCTCCTTCTTACACCTGTGACACCGCAGGCAAGTTGCTTCATCTCCCTGAGCCTCCCGTGAAACGCAGAAGATCCCAGCCTCACAGTGTTATTGAGGGATGGGATCGACCCATTAGGGCGTGGGGCTGTCTCTGTGTCATTTTGGTGTGCCAACGCCTGCCTTGGCTGTCTGGGGGCTGTTTTGAGTGTTTCTCTCCCCTTGACCTTTGTGTCCAACTCTCCCCACCTCAATTCAGATGAGGCTGAAGGAAGGAGAGACTCCATTCCCACGATAGCACAAAAAGATTTTCTGTGACATTTGAAAACGAAGAAGCAGCCTACAGGGTTGTTAACCAAATTTTGAACTTGGTCTGGCCCTGAGGGCTACTGATGTGGGGACCACATTGGTTGCTTCCTGCAGTGAGCTAAGGGCTATGGGCAACTCTGCTCACAAAGAGCTTAAGGTGGCATCTCACTTGCAGAACAGCCTCCAGGTCTCACTGGAGTCAGGGAAAGTGACGGTTGTCCTGTCTCCTTGTTGCTTTAAATGGTAGCTATCTCTGGAGATGGCTGAATGTCCCTGTGTCCACTGGGGACTCTGGGAACAGAAACATGCCAAGATGCTACAACCAGCCCTGGGCACAAAGCCAGCTCTCCAGCTTTCCATGCCCAGCATTAGTCCTGGCATGCAGCTGAACACCTGTGTCTGAGGTGGACCCAGGCCCTGATGCAAAATGTGCCACCCACCTCCTTCTCCCAAATGTCAGCTTGACCCAGCTGAAAGGCAGAGAAAACTTGGCAGTGTTCCCAAAGGGGACAAGAAATTGTCTCTATTGTTAAATGGATGGATGGATAGATAGATAGATAGATAGATGGATAGATAGATAGATAGATAGATAGATAGATAGATAGATAGATAGATAGATAGATAAGTGGATGGGTGAAAGGGTGGGTGGGTGGATGGATGGATGCGTGGATGATTGGATGGATGGGTGGACGGATGGGTGGATGGGTGGATAACTGGATGGGTGGACGGGTGGTTGAATGGGTGGATGACTAGGTGAAAGAGTAGATGAATGGATGGATGGGTGGGTGAGTGGATGAATGGATGGATGGATGGATGGATGGATGGATGGATGGATGGATGGATGGATGGATGCATGCATGCATGGATGGGTGGGTGGGTGGATGGATGGGTGGGTGGAGGATTGGATGGATAGATGGATAGATGAGCAGATGGGTGGGTAGGTGGGTGGCTAGAAGGAAGGGAGGAAAGGAAGGAATACAAGAGCCATTCTTGGTGTAAAGGCCCACAAGGTCAGGAGTTCGAGGCCAGCCTGGCCAACATGGTAGAACCCCATCTCTACTAAAAAGACAAACAATTAGCCAAGCCTGGTGGTGTGGGCCTGTAATCCCAGCTACTCAGGAGGTTGAGACGGGAGAATCACTTGCACCTGGGAGGTGGAGGTTGCAGTGAGCCGAGATTGTGCCACTGCACTCCAGCCTGGATGACAGAGTGAGACTCTGTCTCAAAAATAAATGAAGGAAAAGAAGGAAGGAAGGAAGGAAGGAAGGAAGGAAGGAAGGAAGGCTTGTTTTTTCTTCTTCTTTCTTGCGTCGTCTCGTTCTTTCTCGCGTCCTTTTTCTCTTTCCTTTCTCCGTCACGCCATTTCCCTGCGTACTCCCTTCCATCTGCTCTCGCTTCCTTTCGGTTCTTCTCCTTCGCTCTCTTCTCTTCTCTTTCTCGTTGCCTTCCTTCTCTTTCTTCTTTCTTTCTTCTTTCTTCTTATTTTATCTTTCTTCCCTCTTA